ACCACCCCTTCGTCGTTTCTCACCCGAGGGGTGGGATTTCCGAAGGGGTGTGGCAGAGGGGGAAGTATGATATTTTCCCCGATCTGAGGGTGAGCTGGAGCCATGGTGCCGAAGGCACCCGGGTTCTGGGTGAGCGTCTGGATGAAGGCGGAGAGCGCCGATTGTATGTCGATGGTGAGAACCGGAGGGCTGACTTGGTCATCGCTCCGGTTTTTCTTCTTGGCCTCGATGCCGAGGCGGGCATCGGGGGCATTTTGTTGGATCTGAAGGCGTAGGTCGACAGCCGCCTGTTCCAGCCCAGCGATGACACCGCCCTCGGGAGCCCTGTGAGAGGCTTCGGGGACGTTGACGTCGCCGAGGGCCAGGTTCTTGTCTTCTACGTTCTTTGAGTTGGCACGTGTTGTCCTCACCATTTTGATAGAGGGCTAGTGTTTTGTGTTTGGTCGGGGGGGAGGGTTTCTTACTCGATTGTTCAACCTCTCAACGAGAGCACCAAATGATGGATAGTCTACCGGGGGTATATATCCGAAGGGTTATTACGGGGAATAACTTAGAGAGAAGTCAGAGCAAACAAGTAAGAGAGAGAGTGTATATTCGATATGTATTAAGCGTGGTTACAAATGGGGAAATGGGGTGCTATTTATAGTAGCAATAAATGCCGGGCAGGGACACGTGTCAAGTGCTCATTGGCCGAGGGGTCACCTCAACTGGTTGGCGCTGGCAGCCGCATGTGGCCGCATTTAATGCGGCTGTTGGATGGGACGTCTGTGCGGGGTACGTTGATCTGTACGCATGTGAGGCGGATATCTTGTCGAGTGAGATGCCTTCGGCTATAGAGCAGTAGCCGAGGGCTCTTCCACCCGATGGCACCCTGGTGCCGAGGGCTCACAGTGCCGAGGGCTACTGTTTTCGTCGTTTTCTCCCAGTTTCTTAGTTTGCTTGAGAAACCCGCTCTGTGAGAATTTGGAGCCTTCGGCCAGGGGGCCGAAGGCATCCCTGTGCGTTGTGCGGACTGCTTGTTACTCTGGGCGCTGTGATTTGGGCCTTTTGGGTCTGTTGGGCCTTTGCTGGAGTAGTAGGAGTCTATGGGCCGGGGGTTCCCGGGCCATATACTCCATCAAGTATGTATGTACTTTGTTTAACATATGAATTGGTATTTTGAATGACTTGTTAGAACAGTACCTTCATTTGGGTGTTTTATGTATCTTATACATTGATAATGTAAGTGTTTAGTGGCAAGGAATGTGTAACAAAACTTCAGGTCAATAGAAAAATTCTTCTGGCAAAAAAATGCAGGAGTATTGGTGTTTTTGAGGTCTTATACCAGACCTAGGTTGCCAAATTAATTGCAGGTGTTGTTTAGGCCAAATGGAGGTCATGTATTTAGGTCTTTTTTGAGTTCTTAAACCAGACCTGTAAGCCTGCCACCAACTATGTAGTTACAGACCAATTACAAAGCATACACATCATAATCACATGAAATATATATGGAAGGTAATCACATGAAATATATAAGAAGTCAGATAATTACTTGGCATCATTAAATGTATGAGTTGTTAAAGAGGTTACAAAATTCAAAATGTCATACAACCCCTAATTTAACACTCCAAAAAAGCCTATAACTTGGTCATCTTGACACAAGTACAAAAGTTAATGTTGTCACCTACTATATCCAAAAACTGACAACTATAATAACATCTAAGTGGGCAATTTTTTTAAAAATACAACATTGAAGTCTTCGTTCAGCTTTCGGTTTTCTGCAATTTCTTCTTCAGCTGCTGGTCTCTTCCTTTATTCACACTACCGTGTGTAGTAACAGTTGTAGGAGTATTTCCTTCCCTTGATCCATTTGTTGCCTAATAACAACATTAAAATATATCAATATCGATTTATCTAACATCACAGTGTGTCTGTCTTCATCCTGTGGCAGCCTCTTTATTTGCTTGATAATACTCCATGCATGTGGGAGACCAATCATTTATCCATTTCTCATGACTGCCCTTAAAATCAGAAAGCCTTTTCATTGCCTTCAAGCGTATATCTTCCAACATGCTTACAATGGGTTTTGCCCTAGCTTCTCTAATCCATGCATTAAATGATTCTGTGATGTTATAATTATTATCAACCATCCAACATTTTCTTTGGCTACTAAAGTATGCTCGGCACCAAGTTTGAATAGGGTATTTCAAAACATCAGAAGCAACTTCTTTACTTAGTTTTCCCAACCTTTTTAAGTTCATTTCCAGCTCTTCTTCATATGTGCTCCAAGCACATATCAAGATTTTTTTGCAAAACTCATTACCTCTCCACTTTTTTGACCAATTTGCATAAACATGGCGAGCACTGAACATATGCTCTGCATCTGATATGACTTCCTGAACTGCAATGATTAAGCCCTTTTGCATATCTGAAATAAGGGTTAAAGCAACACCACTTTTGAGATCTAGTTCTTGAACAAGTCAGGCCAAAAACCACCTCCAATTGGACTTGTTCTCTTTGTCAGTTACAGTCCATGCTATAGGAATCATTTGGCCATCTCCATCCACCCCAACTGCTCTTAGCAACATCCCCTTACACACACCCTTTAAAAAACATCCATCCACGCCTATGATCCTTCTACAACCAGCCAACCAGTTCTGCCTCAAAGCTGCAAAACAAATGAACATTCTTTTAAACACTCTTTTTCCTTCTTTCATTGCAGCACTGCATAACTCTATTTCAGCTTTGGAACCAGGATTACTTCTCTTTAAAGTGGCAGCATACGCTTCAAGATACCCAAACTGAGCCTTATAGCTTCCATCCATCTCTTGAATAATCAACCTCTTGGCTCTTTTACATTTGTACAAGCTCACATTGATCTTCAATTTTTTCCAGCCTCCTCCTTCATAGCTCTAACTATGAAGCTAGGATCTTTTTGTAGGTGACCTTTGAAATACTTTGCTAACCAGTTCTGGCTAGCACTTGGAATAGAATAATGCCTAAAACATTTGTGTTCAGGATTGCATGTCTTCACTGCAAGACCACAATTCTTCTCATCCTTAGATATCCACAACCTAAACGGACAACCTTCCTCATTAAGACACTTCACTGCCAAACGGTTCTTCTCATTCGGTTTGATCTTCAGCTTGTACCCATATTTGACTCCATAATTAGCTATTGCACTGCGATCCTCTTTCACATCTTCAAAAGTCATTCCATTCTGGAAAGTACCTGATCCATCATTCACAACATAATTCTGTGTGGGCTCATAATCTCAGGAGTCCTCAGATTGGTTGCTCTCCTCCTCCTCCTCTTCATGCCCTCCATTACAGTCTTCATCAGTTTGATATCCATTTGGGACACCACCAATGCTCACTTTAGTTTGGTCTCTAACATGTACATTACCACCATCAAATCCTATCCCATTTTGGCTTCCACCATTCTGGGTGTCACCAGTGTGGTCTGTCACAGTAGTCCCTTCTAGTAGAGGAATTAGAAGAGGTTCATACAGTTCATGATCAACATACAGTTCAATATCATCAATCCATGAGAAGGCTCTGTTACGATTAAGCACCTTCCTTAATGTATCATCATCTTCAACTAAAAACAGCCCATTTTCCATGTTTTTTCCAGGTTCTAACACATACATGTTTTTTAGAGTTTTAAAACCCAAATCATCCTTATACTTCCGGGCTATGTCATGATAACACAAATAGTCAGGGTCAAATCCATATATGGTATCCACATCCTCATTCACGTACTGTAAAGGCTTCAACACCCACCTCCCACTATGGTTAAACATAGAGTTGACCAACCCACTCATTTTTACAGAGAAGTTACAAGAACAGAATACCTTGGTGTTTGAACGGAGTTCGTCACTTAGGGTTGCAGTCCATCAGCGTGTAATCTTCTTTATGACTACGAGTTACAGTCCAAGAAATTTACTTAGGGTTGAAAATGGGGGATATGCGGTTAAATGCAGGGAAAGGGGGGTTTTAGTTAGGGGGAAACGACCGTTGGGAAGGAAAGTTAGTGGGTGGTTGAAAGTTAAGGGAAATGTTTTAATTTGTGTTGTTTTGGTCCACTTTTAACCTTAGTGTCCTATTCGAGATTCATTAAAAACGTTGGTGTCATTTTTGGCCCTTCTCCCAGTTTTAAATAGAAATTAAGCGTAGAAGTTAAAAGTTGGGATTATTTATAGGGATTACTTGCTATATCTCTTTTCATCCACTTTAGAATTTATTTATAGCCGGCCACATCGGACCATTATTGGCGGAAGGTGCCTAAAGTTGGGATTATTTTGAAATAATCGATAGTTGGGATTATTATTAGCAGACTGTCAATAGTTGAAATTATTACTATCAATTTTTCCTTTTGTTCTCCAAGCACAATAAGGTGCGAAAAACAGAGTCACCAAACTCTTATTCAATTTCACATATTTGTTTACCTTTTGTTCTTTTAATTTATTTAACAACAATTCTTGGTGTACACCTTCTTATACACATCAGTACACCCCCGTGTCTGTGAGAGTTTTTTTTGTCTGTGAATTCCAGTCCACTGACAAAAACAGGCTTGTTTTGTCTGTAGAAGTTTTCACAGACAAAACAAGCCTGTTTTTGTCTGTGGATTGGGATTCACAGACAAAAAAAAACTCTCACAGACACGAGGATGTTCTGATGTGTATAAGAAGGTGTACAAAATGAATTTTTGTTTATTTAAATATTCTTCCCTCTTAAAAATGTCTTGGTAAGAACTTTAAAGGACAATTCTTTTTCCTGCGCTAAATCCAAATCAAATTTCAAAACCTCTCTGCTAGCCACGAGATTAGTCATACTCTTAATCCATAAAAACAGACAAACTTTGTCCGATTTCACCATTTTCAAGATCTTAACAACTGTGATTTGCTTTTAAGAAGTCTTTTTCTTTCATGTCCACGTGTATACATGTCCGTACAGCCTTAGACACCAACTCACCATATACATTAATAAATGTGAGATATCTAATAATAAACTAAAGTTTCCGTAGCCAAAATGCTAGCTTCTGCTGATCTGAATCACAATGGCTGCAGCAATATCTCCATCTCTTTTAATTCTCCTGGGTTTTATGGTCTTCATAGGAAGCTTATCTGAAGGAAGTAAAGAAGAAGTGGGTATATATGAGATCAAGAATGGCAACTTCTCTGTAAAGATCACAAACTATGGGGCAACTGTGATCTCTGTTATCCTCCCTGATAAAAATGGTTTGGTTCTTCATGCCCTTTCCCCATTCTTGATGTGAATAGAGATTTTCCTATAGGTTAATTAGCCTAACATATTCTTTTTTTATCTTTGGCAAGGAAAACTGGAAGATGTAGTTCTTGGGTTCGACTCGGTCGATGATTACAAGGTGAGTTACTTAGATAAAGAATATATTCAAAATCCAATCTTTAATTAGTTTCCATTTAATGATCTGTAAAATAAAGTATGGGTTATTTTCTTTTTGCAACAAAAATGCAGAATAACAAAGCTTATTTTGGTGCCATACTTGGGCGGGTAGCAAACAGGATTGGAGGAGCAAAATTCAAACTTAATGGCACTGTGTACAGATTGCCAGCAAATGATCATGGAAACACTCTCCATGGTCTGCATTTAATTTCCTTCTGTTTTTTAATCAGCTAATCTGAAAACTTAATTTGAACATTGATGAAATGAGGTGATAAATGTTGCCTACATAAAAACGCAGGGGGTCCCAGTGGATTTAGCTATGTGGTATGGAAAGTGGAAGATTACAAGAAGGACCATCATCTCACTCTGTCCTATAACAGCTCTGATGGAGAACAAGGTAGCTGTTATCTAAGCTATAATACAACTCCTCTCAAATTATTTTTGTAAAGTTAACATTTTATTGGTCAACCATGTTAAATTAAATGCTCTTTATTGATAATTAATTAAATTTTAATAATTAAATTTTACATATTCAGAAACTACATTAAAATGTCTAAATCCAAATTAAGATTTAATTAAGAATTGATATCTTAATTAAGTGAATAAAATGAATCTGTTTGATCCAAAAAATTCAATTTGGGACGAAGAGAGTATTTATGTTTTGCGTTGAAAAGCTTTAGAAGTTCATATTAATTAAAGAAACATGCATCTTTCTGTCTTCTACATTTTGTACTGCTGAGAGTATCCTAGTATTTTTTGTTGTATGTTTGTCCAAACACTTTTTTAAAGTTACTTTAAAAATTTAAGTTTTTTTATAAGTTTTTTTTTTATTAGTTTTCCAAGAACAATCCCTTACGGCCTGGCCTTACCTTTAGCATTACTTTTAAAATCCTTTTCAACTACTAACACTTTAAGTAAAAAGGTTCAAAAAAACTTCTGTATACACTTTTAAAGTCCTTTTCAAACCGTTGAAAAGATCACATTAATCGTTTTTTGGGGGGAAAAACTCACCTTAATCGTTGAAAAGTTACAGTTAAAAATTCACATTTTAAGAGATTTAAAAAAGTTAGGGTCTTTTTGAGAAGTCTCCGAGAATAGCATCTGGGACTCTAGGAGTAAATCCCCAGTCTTTCTACTTGTTTCTTCTTGGTCCAACCAGGTGGAATCTCCCACGCCCTAACCCGACAGGATGGTGGGGAGTTAATAACGGTGACTCATTGAGCAAATCAGCGGTGGACTTTATACACGTGCGCACCTCTACTTGTTTTTCAAATGTGGTATCGCTTGCCTTTTTCCTAATGATTTAATTAAATAGTTAATCATAGGTATACGTAGTAAAATATACTAGTTCCATCCCATAATTAACTTCACCGTTTGATTTTTTCAGCGAAGCTTTATTAAGCTTGATTGTCAATTATTGAAAAACTGTATTAGTTGATATTCTGAAAATACTTTGAAAAAATTCACTTTAATAATCCATATATATTATGTAACTGTTAATTTTTTATAAATTGTATAAACATATACGGAGTATTATTAAATAATCATTGTCAAAGATCAACCAAGTTTGACCTCAAAAGTTAAACTGAGAAATTATATTAATTATGAGACAGGAGTATATTTTTGTAAACATACTCCTATAGATATTTAACATTATTTACTAATAAGTTTGTCCATATTAAAATCACATCGAAAAAATCTCTGATATGGAACTAGTAATACCTTATTAATTTCACAATAATGACTCTATTACGATCATTTTATTTTTTTGCTCCGATATCATTTTGTTTTATTTATTCATGTTAGCCAACATTCTTTGGGAATAAGATTTGGATGTTGTTGTTGTTGTTGTTGTTGTTGTATACTTTATGAAAATATTGAATCAGGAACATTTTGGTCGATATAACTTCAATATTCTAAATAATTTCATATTAAAAAATATTATTGGTCAAAGTTGATTGTCATTGACCAAAAAAAGTCAATCTGGCGGACCTTTTCGGGATGAAGGAAATATTAATATCATTATATTATACTAATATAATTTAGAAAAAAATCCTTAAATAGTTGTAAAATATAAACAAAATGCAAAAAGAGAATATCATTGTTCTCTTCCTAAAATAAAAGTCATTCACTTCTAATTGGGAAATTTTATATCTTTTTCATATATTCAAATAAGACTTATTTTAGGAATAAAACATAGTTAATCATATATACCTAGTATGTACTTTGTCTATGTTTTACTCCCATTTGGAGCCATTTCTTTGCATTCTATTCATAATTTAATGCAACTATTTTAACATTATTATTATTTTGGTTACTTTCTCTACGTACACTACTTCTCATTTCGAGAGTTTCATTTACAATTTTGGAATTAACTCTTTAAATCTCTAACTTTGTACGGAGTATGATAGTATTATTTTGCAACATATCTCAAGGGTTTGGAGTTCGTACCTTCCTAGAGCCCAAGATTAATTCAGAGAAGTCGAGATTATTTGATGCAGACAAATTCAACTCGTTAGATAACCTTGTTTTGGTAAACATGGTTATGTATACAACCCGCTCTACTCAAATGACTACATTTTTTTAAGTAACACATTTTCAATACCTAAGTAGGTAACCCTATTAAATATGAAAAGTCTCTTTTCAATTGGTTGTGACCCGGGGCGGAGCCAGGGGTCAGGGTGGTCAGCCGATCCCGCTGAAAGTTAGAGAGTATAAAGCTTTGAAATATCTTCAATTTGATATATTATGACCCCATAACTCATTATGAGTAAAAAGTTACGACTTCTGCAAAATCAGCACTATCTAAACGTAAAATTAGCAAAATTTGATGCGTAATATTGATTATTTTCCCAAATTTTAAAAATAACGTATAAATAACTCATTACTTACGTGACATGATTCAGAAACAGAGCAAAGATAATCTATCTTATTGCTACGAATGCCTATTTATCTAAATTGCAAATAAAAAATTCAACTCGGATATTGTCTAAAAACGATCTACCATTTTCATTTTGTACATAGTTGATTTTCAACCCAGCTGAGCCGTGTTTCTAGCTCTGCCACTACTTGTGACAAATGTACATTTGTACTACGTACTAGTTAACTGAGTTCAGGTTGTGAGAATAGGTTGTGGCACTTGTGGGTGAAATATGGCCGAAATGTTTGAAGTATAAAAAACAACCACAATCTCGAAATTAATATGACTGTTCATTTTTATAATATTTTGTGCACTAATAAAGTTGTTTTTGTAATGTTCTTTGTACAGAATTAAGCCCTTAATTACTCCGTACTATTTTGTTCACTGCATCTTTAGTTGACTACCACAACTGGCGTGGACATTGGACAAGGACACAGACCATACCAAACAGGGGCTGGTTTTTTAACTGGGACTGGTTTTCCAGTTCCAGGCTAAAACCGAGATCAGGGTGAGTATAGAAGCTCTGTTCCCGGGTTGCATTTTCCGGGATCAGCAAGAACCGGTCCCAGCCCCATTTCATTTTTTTGCATTGCGTCTCTCAGGAAGGAACTTAAAAGTTGTAGGGGCCCATTAAAAGCTGAAAAGGAGTGGGGAGGAGATGGAGGGGATGGAGCATTTTGCAAAAAAAAAAAAAAAAACCGACTAGACCAAGACCGAGTGACCAACGGATGAATCAGATCCTTAGACTAGAACCAACCTAGAACCGGAAATATAAGTCCAGGTCCCTGGCCTCACTATTGTTTTTAGGACCAGCCGGTCTGTGTCCATGCCTATTGTCCAAGTACAAGTAGTGCACAACTGAAGAGTCAATAAAAAGGCATATCGCCTAAGCTTTGTAAAGTAAAACTAGGAATTTACTTTATGGATGGATGAAGAATTCGTAATTATTTTTATAAAGGAAACAAATTTAAAAAGTAAGAGTAAGACTATCGTTTTCATTCATAAGAGACCTCAAAGAAAAACATTATCTGCTCTATTGTTTTGTATCATCTACCAATTCTGCGAGCACAGACCAAAAAGTTATTGGTTGACAAAATATTTGGCTACTAAGGCTATTAAATACAAATAACAGGCCTCTAAATGGTCATTTAGGGTCTATTACCCCGTTGATGCAGTGAGCATTCTGAATAGCAAATGATCAATGATTGTGAATATGTGTGTCCAGGATTCCCCGGGGAGCTTTCTGTGAAGGTGACCTATATGCTCATCGGCAAAAACAAGCTTATCCTAAGAATGAAAGCCAAGGCTGTGAACAAGGCCACGCCAGTAAATCTGGCCTCACATACCTATTGGAATCTAGGTGGCCATGACAGTGGAGACATCTTGTCACATAAGATCCAGCTGTTTGGCTCAAAGATCACTCCTCTCGATGAACAGTTCATTCCAACAGGTGTCATTGAACCAGTGAAGGGTACACCATACGATTTCCTGACGGCCCGGGTTATCAGGAGTCGGTGGGATGAGCTTCCGGGTGGGTACGACATCAACTATGTGTTGGACAGCTACAGGTTCACGCATCTGCAGAAGGCTGCTGTCATTGAAGACCGGAAATCCAGCAGAAAATTGGATATGTGGACTAATCAGCCTGGTGATATCTTGTCACGTAAGTACCGGCTGTTCAGCTCAAAGACAACACCCTTGGATGATCAGCTCATCCCAACCAGTGCAATTGAACCAGTGAAGGGTACATTCGGTTTCCTGAAGACCCGAGTTATTAAGAGTCAGTGGGATGAGCTTACGGGTGGATACGGTATCAACTACATGTTGGACAGTCACAGGTTCAGGCATCTGCGGAAGGCTGCCGTCGTTGAAGATGGGAAGTCCGGCAGAAAATTAGAACTGTGGACTAATCAGCCTGGTGTTCAGTTCTATACTAGTAATATGTTGAACGACACAAAGGGGAAAGGCGGTTTTGTGTACAGAAAACATGCAGCATTGTGCTTGGAAACTCAAGGCTTTCCAGATGCTGTGAACCACCCAAACTTCCCGTCCCAGATTCTGAATCCAGAGGAGACGTATGATCATGTCATGGTATATAGGTTCACAGCTCATTAGGATTTAGAAACGGTTTTCTTGTGTGCTTTTGTTACTGGTGGTATAGGTTTCTTTCAAAAAATTGCACAGAACTGACAGATGTGAGCCTATAAAAATGGTTCAGTGCAAACAAGAACGGTTGATGAATAATAATAATAATAATAATACTCCGTAATAAAATAATAGTAATAATAATAATAATAATAATAATCTCAAATCTTATAAATGTATGCATGTGAATGGCAACTGAATGAAACAATGAAGAAAAATCAATAGATTACATGAATGGAAATTTACTAGTTTCTCAGTTTTCCACAACAAAACTACTATATGCTTGTATATTTAGATGAGTCTTCAAAATTCAAATGGCCAATTTAAGGACACGATGGAGTAGAATTATAGTAGCATTAATTAATATTACGAATGATGACAATTTATTATTAAAATAGTTCTTCAATTAGTTTTTAAATAAATAATACTCATATGAGAAGAGCAGGAACTAAAAATAGTTTGTTCTTTCTTCAATTTTTAATAAATTGGCATTTTGCAAGCCTAGGACCAGGACAAGCATCAATATGACCAGATTAGTAAAGCAAATAATTGTGCAACCCCAAAAATATATGCGAGTATAACGCGAGCAAGCCTCGGCTCAACTTGCCATCCGTATCCTCTATAAAATTCTGTGGGTAGAATAGAACTAGAGGAAGACAGCATTTTTTCTTCATAAGCTGCGGGGGATATATAATTGAAGGGATGAAATAGTTTTCCGACCCTTAATAAATTTAGGATAGAATTATGATTGTATTCCTTTCATCGATTAAACAATCACCCTAAGCATTCAAAACCATGAGACCAATCTGAGACCCTCCTTACTTGGCCAGGCTTGGGAGACTTATTATCAGTTAGCTGAGATTCCCTTGACAACAACGAGGATGAAGAGCGGTGGTTGTTACTATTGCACTTGGGCGACTGGAGCTGTTCTAATATTTCCAACACGTAGGCCATGTCAGGCCGCCTTTTGGTCTCGGGACGTGTGCATTGGTATGCAAGACTGGCTGCAAAAAATGCTGCATTCCGAGGGTACTGTCCCTCTAACCGAGTGTCCATGATTCTTGACACTGCCCGTTTCTCATGCAGATATGGCCTCACCCACTCTATCAGAGTGTGGCCTTGACCTAATGATTTGTCCCTCACTCTGCGACCCGTTAGAAGCTCAAGCAATACCACCCCAAAGCTGTACACATCACACTTCGCTGATAGTCTACCTGTTAGTAATTAGAAACTTCATATAAATGCGAGGTGTTTGGACTTGCATGAGTTAGTCTCACCATGACACAACAAAATATCGTGCACTGTTTTTACCTTTTAATGTATTCACTATGACATTTGAACATGTCTCATAAAGAGTGTCTCACACAAGTTAGGGTTGATTTTATGCCCTTATCTAGCGCTCATAATCAAGGCCAACCCTAATAATTGGAAAGAATGCGGGTCTATTATCTTAAGACTGAATGAAAACAAATAGCAAAAGGATAAAAAAATATGTAGCAATAAAGCTTTGAGTTCATAACTCTTGTGAGGTATTTATTTCTGAACCATGTAAATATGTAATCCATGAAACTTCTTGAGCAAATGTGGCGTATTTAGGTCATGAAACCCAGTGGGGAATATGCTTTTACCAGATAAATGATCAAGGCCCGCACTACCCATAATTGATGAACTGCGCACCTGTAGTCATGTATTCAGGGCAAGTATATCCTTGTGTGCCCATAACCTGGGTCGATACGTGTGAATGATCACCAGTCGGACCAAGCTTGGCCAAACCAAAGTCTGAAAGCTTTGCATTAAATTCCTTCATCAACAAAAACAGAAATATAACTAAAGGCATGAAGAATATCAGTTCATAGGCTTCAAAGTTCAGTGGACGCAAATTATAACAAGATAAGTTCTTAATCACACCGAATCCAAGAGGATATTTGAAGCTTTAAAATCACGATATATAACTTGAGGATCACAGTTATGCAAAAATGAGAGTCCCCGAGCAGCCCCTACGGCAACCTTCATCCTTTTTTCCCAAGAAAGAGGTGAAGTCGTCTTCCCTGTAGGTAAAATATCATTGCATACATTGTTTGAAAAGTGTCTTTTCATTGACTATATATGAAAGAAAGAATTATCCCCTTAATAAGCCTTGGATGATTGATTCATCACCAAGCCTCTTCAATCAGGCCCTACCCCTTACATACCTTACTTCAAATACATTCAAATCAAGTTTACTAACATCAAGAATTCGAATTGAAATCTTTTCTACCACACTAATCACAGAATATATGAATTTAAGTTAAAAAACAAATGATCACCAAAGTAAAGTTTGAGGCTTACTTCTGAAAAGATGATTTTCTAAGCTCCCTCTAGGCATAAACTCATACACTAATAACCGATGATCACCTTCCAAACAGAAGCCCGTTAGTTTAACCAAATGCGGATGATGAAGTTGGCCGAGGAATTTCACTTCTGACTACAATATAATATGATTGGAACACACTAAGAAAAGAATAAACGAGTAGTAGTGTAGTACAGAAAAAAAGAACTCACCAACCACTCTTTATGACCCTGAACACCTCGAAGTTTAAGTCTTTTAACAGCAACTTCCATTCCTGATCCGGGGTTCGAAGCAGTTAAGGTATCCCTGTCTAACCATCCCTTGTAGACACAACCAAAGCCTCCTTCACCAAGAAGGTTACAGAAGTTCTGTGTGGCCTCCTCAAGCACACTCAGCAAAAAAGACTTTAGGTCTGGAGATGATAATATTTCAAATTCAGACCTTGGGTTTGGAAGACTTCCAGCTCTGCTATGTGATGAGGACTTCTCAGAGCCAGTTGGAACTGGCAAAGGATGACTCTCACGTTCTCTGTTTTCTGAATGAAAACCATATTGTTAAATCAACAAAAACTTTTAGAACCAGTTTCATAAGGTCTAAAATACGTGAATTATATTCTGCAATATACCTCACCCAACTAAAATTCTGTTAAAAATAAAGTTGGGTCTAACTCAATCCTTTAATAAATCTGGGGAAGTGAGGACTGTTAAAAAATCATCAGTTATTAAGGTGTTTATTTTTCATATTTAGGTTGATGCACAAGTACACAACTCTTCAAAATGTAACCCATTTCTGTGGTTAATTCTCTCTTCAAAATGTAACCCATTTCTCTGGTTGATTTTTTTTGAAATAATTACATAAATATGACCAAAATAAAGATGATTTACAAAAATATGACTAATGATCAGAGTAGTAATGAAATCATAGTAATTCATGTTCAAGTTTTGAGCTTAAGTTATCACTTACCACAACACCACGTTGTAGTAATGAATAGTCATATTTATGTAAATATGTTTTATTTTAGTAATATTCTTGTAAAACCCCCTTTTTTTTTTTAACAAGAGGCTTCATTAAATGGCCACAAGTTAAAAGGTCATGCTTTACGTTAGCAGGGTTGAAATTTAACCCACATTACATTGCATTCGATTTTCCCACCTCTCATCTTTCATTTCACTTTCTATACAAATTAATGAAAACCAAAGAAAAAAAAATCAAATCGTGATCCATAAGAGAATGCAAATATCTAAAAGCAACAGAAAAGAGACAAGAAACATACCCGTAGATGTAGTGTGAGTGGTCGTTGATGCAGAAGCAGGAAACGAAAAGCTTTCAGCTTTTGGAATTTCGGTAATACGCTGTGACCTTCTGAAGCAATTTCCCATGGCGGAAATTGGTCTCGGGATTCGAATAGCCCGCGAAAATGACGAAACAAATCAAGAAAATTGTTTGTTCGTGCCCAATCCCTGCTCCCCCATCTCCGGTATTCATAGAGAAGACGAAGGACAGGGAAATTAGCAAAAAGAGCATTACGTACAATTTGGTTTTTGCTGTGAAATATTTTTGTCGCGAGCATGAGATGAGAGGTTCCGTGAACGAGACAATTCTGAGGGTGCTCCGATGGCGGGAGGATTTGCTGATTTCTAACTTACGAATATACCCCTCAACAACATTTCGGTATCCGTCTTATCTCGGCGCACCCTTTTATGGGCTACGCCCACTCATTTTCAGTTTAGATGGACATGCATATCCTTCCATTCTAAGAAAAAGAACAAGTGTTGTATGAAAATATTCAAACCATTAAAATACGAAATATTCTTTAAAAAATAATTGTATAAAAAATTAAATTTTATAAATCTAACACATATATAATTAAAAAAAATATTGACCAAAAAAGTCAATATGATTAAGTTTTTGTGAAATGGAGTGAGTACTCCCTCCGTCCCGGTCATATCTTCCAATTTTCCTTTTTGGGTCGTCCCAATTAATTCTTCCAATTTCCACTTTTGGAAAAAATATGTGGTTCACATTCATTCACCTTTTTCTTACACAACTACAATCATACATTTCCACTTTATTTCCACTTTCTAAATTTGCGAGCCAAGTCAAACTTGGAAGAAATGACCGGGATGGAGGGAGTATTAGTTTTGAAGGCATAATTTATTATTGAGAAAACTGTAAAATAAGTCCATGTACTTTTACAAAAAAATCAATCGAGTCTTCGTACGTTAAATTGAGTCAATCAAGTCCACTAAGCGTTAAAAGACAACCAATTTTGCTCTTTAGTAGGTAACAAGCCGATAACACCCGGTCATCTGCATACGTGGATTTCCAGCTAACATTTTTTAACCGTTTTATACATCTTTTATAATTTTTTCTTTTGCCTTTTCTCTTTCTTCCTGTCAAGCCGACTTTTTCCCTCACTGAGGACAGGTAATGGCGGCCAAAGTGGAGCCGTCCGAGCAGATTGTTGTTTCGCTTCTTTGGAAAGTCGAGCGGCCGACAAGATTATCGACGGACCGCCCAGGCTCTAGACAAGGCTTTAACCCTAGTCATCAAGTGTCTCAAATGGAGAAGGATGAAAGTCATGGGGGGAGGGTTAATTGGACTAAAGAATGACTTCACTTGTTTTTTGATCTATGTATTCAATACGTAGACATAAGTAAGGGAAAAAATGGTGGAATTGTTTCACAAAAGTTAATGTGGAAAAAAATTGAGTCGGAGTTTAAGAGAAAAACTAACTTGCTATGGGATAAAAGCAAACTCAAAAATAAGATTGATTGGATGAGAGATATATG